TCTGGAGGATGGGAGAGAGACACTGAAAATTCTAACCTTTAATCATGGCTTAGTTTCTGGTGACCAGCCCCCATCCAAGAGCCAGCTACCCAGGAGCCTACCTGAGTCCCCTCATTAGAATAAAAGATGCCTCTAGTGCTCTTATAACTTAGGAATTTACAAGGGTTTATTGGTACTCTGCGTCAGGGACGGGGTCAAGCAAATATAGAATAAGAGATGCTCCTAGTGCTCTTATTGCTTAAGAGATTACAAGGGAGTGAGAAGCTCTGTACCAGGAACCAGGGGCATAGATCAATATATATTTTCCATTATCTCCCAGAGTCTCAGTTTTCTCCTCTGTCAAATGGGAATATTAATATGTGGTCCCTAGCCAGGTGATATGTTTTGGTGCCTGTGCATAGTAGATGTTCAATAAACATGTGTCATCCTTCTTTGGACAGGGCCCAACACACTCTCCAGCGATACAGAATTCTTCTTAGCCCTGTATGTTGTCCAGAGAATGATTTCAAAAAAAAAAAAATGAGAGGGAAGTTCTCTTTTGTTGATTACCTACGGTAGTTGCTGAAAAGTGATGCTCACACCCTATTCCCTGCTATTTGTGAATGTTGGTTTACATGGGCATGGCTTCACAGACATTGACTGTGTTAAGGATCTTGAGAGAAGTTTATTCTGGATGATCCTGGTGGGTCTTAAAGGCACTCACATATATCCTGAGTCAGAGAAAGGCAGAGGGAGAGTTCACACACATAGGAGAGGACAATGTGAAGACAGAGCAGAGATGGGAGTGATGTAGCCTCAAGTCAGGGAGTGCTGGCAGCCACCGGAAACCAGAAGAGGCCAGGAATGCACTCTCTCCTAGAGCTTTTTAGCTTCCAACCTCATCTTTCTTTTTCACATCTGTGGCCCATCCTCTACTCACCCTTGAATGCAAAGCTTGAGTGCATAGTCCTGTTTTTGTTGCTTTAGCAGAGAAAACACTGGATTTCCCTTTCTGAGACCATGACCACATGCTCCCTCTGGTGCTCACGGTCTGTTCTGGATGTACGTGATTTTCAGCTCCGTCCTCTAGGAGCCCATGCTGATCCCACCTTCCACTGCAAGCCCCTAACCCCAGCCTCTAGGCTCAGTCTAAGTTTGCTCTGACCAAGGATCAGGAACTGAACCTTGGTTCCAGATGTGGGGTCTTGGAGAACAACAAATAATCCGGCAGACAGGCTCAGGAGTTCCAGGTCTGTCTTCCTAGATTGGTTGAGGGGCACTTGGCAGGGGTTTTTGGTTGGGGGTCCAGCTGTGGGAAGCTGGGAGGGACGGTGGATGCTGGTGGTTGGAACCGGGCATGGAAGACCAGTGTCCTGCTTTGCCCAGCCAGGCAAGTATCTCTCAATGATGGTTGCTAGCAAACTTCTCTATCTGTAATAATCATAGTTCTGCAAATCAGCACACAATCACATGACCTGTAATAACAAGCTGTCATCTACTAGCCTTTCCAATGCCAGGTGCTGGGTCAAGTGATTTCTATGCATTATCTCATTTAATCTGTACAATCATCCTAGGGCATAGATACTATCTTTTTTTTTTTTTTTCAGATGAGATAGCTAAATAAGTAAATAGTGGACCTGGAATGAGAAGTCAGGTTAGCACCCATGTTTGTATTCGTGAGCATGCCTGTTAAGACCACAATGTAATATCGTTTTGCACCCATTCTCTTGGCAACAATAAACATTGATAATACCAAGTGTTGGTGAAAATGTGGAGCAACAGGGACTCTGAGACACTGCTTGTGGGAGTCTAAGTGGCCCACCATGAAAAACAAGTTTCTCATAAACTTCATCATTTGTCTACCTCCAATTCAACCCTTTGTTACATGCCTTGGAGAAAGTCTCATTCTTGTGCACCGGGGGACATAAACACCAGTGAGTCCAGCAGCACTGGTAGGAATAGCCATAATAGTGTCAGAGACAGGCAGGAGACAGAAGCACCCCAGTTATTTAAGGGAGAGAATTTAACACAAAGAATTGCTGGGGTGCCTGGATGGCTCGGTCGGTTAAGTATCTGACTCTTGGTTTCAGCCCAGGTCATAATCCCAGGGTCATGAGATTGAGCCTTATGAGAGGCTCCATGCTCAGCAGGAGTCTGCTTGAGATTCTTGATTCTCTGCTCCCCCAGCTCCCTCTCATATGTGTACTTGCTCTGTCTCTCTTTCAAAAAAAAAAAAAAAGGAATTGCTAACAAGGTATAAAGTTGTTAACTTGGTGACTGAAGGGTTATAAAAATAACTAAGATAGAATGAAGGTAGCACTTGGAGTAAGCATTTACCAGCCCCAGGGCCGAGGATAAAAAGAGAAGCGACTGAAATTATTAAACTTTAGAAACAGAGGAGGAGCTCTGGGGAGTAAACCTCAGATACTTGAGAAGGGAGCTCTGCTCAGCTGGGGCTCATGTCTCAGCCACCCAAGAAGGTCCAGATGGGGCAGGAACTGGGCTTTAGGGGAGGAGACTCTGGCTACACACCTGAAGCTGGTGCCTCTGGCTTTGGGGGAAAGGCCTCTCGAGGCTGGGACCTAGCACCTTGAGAAGGGAAGTACTGCTGTGAGATGAAGCCCTGCTGGCTGGAACTCCCAGGAACTGGGGCCCATGGGCAGCCACAGAAAACAGAGATGAAGAAGCAAGTTCTTTCTCTCTGCTCTAGCCCTGCAGTGTGCCTCCAGCCTCACCCTGCTTGTTGGCAAAGCCTCACAAAGTAACCTGGAACAGCTGGTAATGTGTTACCAGCCCCAGCATCACAGAACAGGTTTGTTTGTTTGTTTGTTTATTTATTTAGATTTTAAAAATTTGTTCATGAGAGACACACAGAGAGAGGCAGAGACATAGGCAGAGAGAGAAGCAGGCTCCCTGTGGGGAGCCCAATGCAGGACTTGATCCCAGGACCCTGGGATCACAACCTGAGCCAAAAGCAGACACTCAACCACTGAGTCACCCAACCTCTGAGCCACCCAGGTGTCCCAGGTATTCTTTTTTAAGTATTTATTTTTAGTTGTGGTAAAATATCACACAAATATTACCATTTTAACCATTTTTAAAAAGATTTTATTCATTTGAGAGAGAGAGTGAATGAGTGGGAGGTAGGGGCAGGGGGGAGAGGGAGACTCCCTACTAAACAGGGAGCCCATTGTGTCTCGGGGCTCAATCCCAGGATGTTGGGATCATGACCTGAGCTGAAGGCAAACACTTAACTGACTGAGCCACCCAGGCACTCCCATTTTAACCACCTTTAGGCATGCAGTTCAGTGGCATCAAGTATATTCACACAGTCATACCACCACCACCATTTATCCATAGAACTTTTTTATCTTGCAAAACTGAAACTCTGTACCTTTTATACACTAACTCCCCGCTGTCCCCTCCTTAAGTTCCTGGCAGTCACCATTCCACTCTGTCCTCTATAGATTTGACTACTCGAGGTACCTCATATATAAGTGGAATCATACAGTGTCCTTCTGTGACTAGCTCATGTCACTTAGCATCATGTCTTCACGGTTCACCTGTGTTGTAGCTTGTGTCAGAATTTCCTTCTTTTTTAAGGTGAACTAATATTCCATTTTATGAACATGCCATAAAATGTTTGTTTACCCATTCAACTGTTGGTAGACAAGTATTTTTTTATTTTATCAAAGACTGTATTAAAATCCCAGGTTAGTCTGACTAGAAACATTGTACAGATAACATCCGCACACACACTTTGCTTCTGTATACAGGGGTTTACTTTTTCAAAACCATAAAAACAGTATCCTAACAGCATGCAAGTGGATTTTCAATAATAAAAAGTCCTCCCAATAACTGGATCATCTTAACACGAAGCCTTTAAAATTTTCTCCTAGCTAAAGTCTCTCCTATGGGCAGATACAAGTTGTCAAAGTCATGACCCCAGCACTCCATATGACTGAGTGTTCTGCTACATCACAGTCCCCAGTCTGCGGTTGCAAGGCTGTTGTTGCCAACCCCGAGTGAGCAAAATGCCCTTTTCTTCAGCATCGCTCTTTGCTTCTTTGAACATCTGGATTGTGTTCTTCAGGATCGTTTTGTTTGCACCTGAGGGAAACTGTACTCAAGTCAGCTTAACCAAAACCAAACTGGTGTGTGTGCTGGAGGATGGTGGTGGTGGTGGCATTTACTGGTTTCCATCACTGGAAAGAACGCAGGAGTAACTCACAGAACTAGGGCCTGAAACCAGGGACTAAAAGCAGCCAGCGCCCTTCCTCTCTGCCCAGCTCTCCGTGGCCCTCCCTCTTCCTCTCTTTCTTTCCTTAATGCACTCATGCCCGCTTCACCTGGCGGGGGAACGTGGCCATTGGCAGGCCCTGCCAGGCAAATGCAGTGGCAACACCATCCAGAGAGTGATCCCAGAGAAGGACTGTGATTGGCTCTGTTGAGTCACATGCCCTCCCTTTGGGCCAGTCATGTTATGAGGGTGACCATGAGTTTTTATTGGCCGGGCCTGGTCTCATGCCCATCCCTCTGGCCAGAGTGGTGGGAGCCTGTGGCTTTCAGAGAGGGAAGTGCAGACCTACTGGGAAGACAGAAAACAATTGTGGAGTCACTGTGAATGGGGTGGGGGTGGGGGTCTGTTGTTCACCATGGCAACAGGAAACATCTACTACACACATTGAGCTCTTGTTTAACAATCACCTGGGGGGGAATGGGCGAGGGCAGGATTAATGTCTCGGAGCTTTGCCAGAGGCCATGTAACATGTTTGTGTTTTCAAAGCATGTCCACATCTGATAACTTATTTGTGTCCCATCAAAACCCCAGCGGGGCAGCAGAAAAGGAACCAGTGACGCAGAGAAGTTGAGTGATGGGTTTAGAGACACAAGGCGGATGAATGCAGAGAAGAACCCAGAGCCCCGGCTCCCTGACTCCCAGGGCTCTGTCCCAGCAATATCACAATCAAAGTTTGGACGAGTGGTGGGAGGTTCAAGCCCGGGGGGTCAGGCCTGGCCAGCTAAGGGAGGGAGCTTCGTCTGCTGTCTTCCCCTTGGATGAGCTGGGCGAGCCCCTTGGAAGAGACGGGAGGGCGGCCCCTGGTTTCAGAGCCTGCCCGAGCTCTGATAGGGGACGTTCCTCCACTGGACCTGGCATCCTCCCAGTGGGCGCTTTCAGTACGCAGCTCCTCCAGGATGCTGTGAAGATGCCTCAGTGTGAGCAGGAGTCTCTGGTCTTGCACTTGCATCTCAGCCTAGGAGACAGAATCAGTGTGAGGGGACTGGGCGTTCTCCGGGAAGGTTGTTCTCATCACTGTCTCATTGGAGACAAACCTGCAGCCTTGCAGAAGCCGAGTCCACCCAACCCTCAGTTTCTTCATCTGCAAAGTGGAAAGCAAATTGTACCTTTCAAGGCTCTTAGGAGGACTGAATGAGTTAGCCCATGCTCTAAACTCTGAGATGCACAGGGCGCCAGGGTGGTCAGTGGTTTGGGCCTTGGACTCTTGATTGGGGCTCAGGTCATGATCTCAGGGTTGAGCCCTGCATGCTGCTCTGCACTCAGCAGGGAGTCTGCTTGAGATTCTGTCTCTCCCTCTCCTACCCCCACACCTCAAACTCTCTATCTAATAAATAAATAAATAAATAAATAAATAAATAAATAAATAAAGTCTTTAAAATGCTGGACCACCAAGTTCTATGATCATCTTCATCATCATTATCAAATGTTATTCTTTTTTTTTAAAGATTTTATTTATTTATTCATGAGACACACACACGCACACACAGAGGCAGAGACACAGGCAGAGGGAGAAGCAGGCCCCATGCAGGGATCCGGATGCGGGACTCGATCCCGAGACTCCAGGATCATGCCCTGGGTGGAAGGCAGCACTAAACCACTGAGTCGCCCAGGGATCCCCTCAAATGTTATTCTTATTTACACCTCCACTGTATGCTTTAATTCTTACTGCAACAAACAAATCACTTTATAGGTATTAAGATGCACATGACTTCATAATAAAACAAAGTGGAGTATACCTTGCAGACAGGCAGGAGTCCTTGGGAACAGTGATTCTCAACATATGGTCCAGGGAACCCTTGGATCCCAAAAACTCTTTCAGGTGTTCGGGGAGGTCAAAATGACTTTCATTACAACACTAAGATATTATCTGCCCTTTCATCCTCTTATGAGCCTACAGTGGAGTTTTCCAGAAGCTATATGACACACGATACGATATCTGATTACTTGCAGAAGCAGATAGGAGAATCCAGCAGTTTTCTTTCGTAAGGAGTTTACTAATGTTCTTTTTAAATGCATTCAGTAAACACTAAAAATTTCTCCTTTTGCCAGCACTGGTTGGTATAACTCTCATAAGAAGATGTTAAAACCTTACCTTTCTGACTAGGTAATTCTTTTTTTTTTTTTTTTTTTTTGACTAGGTGATTCTTATCCGTGATACAAAATTGAGAAGCTACAGAAAGGGCATGTGGTTAAATTCCCTCCCACCTGTTCCACCCCATGCCACTACTCAGTCTGCTCCCCCAGAGGCACCACTGGGAACAGTGTCCCTTCTGTCTGTCTGTCTCTCCAAGAGATAATTATTAACATTATCTCTTCACTAGAATAGGTAGTCATGAGACACACGCACGCACACATGGACAGAGACAGAGACACAGGCAGAGGGAGAAGCAGACTCCATCCACGCAGGGAGCCCGCTGTGGGACTCCATCCCAGGACCCCGGGATCACGCCCTGGGCCAAAGGCAGGCGCTCAACCGCTGAGCCACCCCGGCCTCCCTCTTCACTAGAATAGTATTTTATTTTCAGGACAAACTACTTTACAAGTGTGAAGATAAGGCCCATTTCCTGCACTTCCAAGAGAGTGGATAGAAGGAAGCAGAGCCACCTCCTGAGAACCCTGGGGCTTCCCAGGCTGTGGTGTGAGTGGGAACAGGGACACCTCTTCCCAAATTCTTGGGAAACCATTATGTCTGTGTTTTTTCAATTTTAGGGTCTTCCTCCCACACATTTTTATCGCTCAACCTTTAGCACCAGTTCTGGGCACATGCTCGTGAGAACATAGGGCAGCACCCAGCATGGAAGCAGTGGTAAGGAAGGTGATAGACTCCATGCCCTTGGAGTTGAGGACCGGAACCCCTGAGCAAGCTGGCCTCAACAGGAGGGAGATGTCCCCTCTCACAGGGCAAGAGGTCCAGCATGCTCTGGACTCAGTTTGCTCAAGTTCTGCACTGAAAGCTCTTTCCTCCCTCTGAATGAATGCCCCTTAGTCATCAGACTGGTCTGGCTCATCACAAGATGGCTGTAGGTCTCTCTCCTCTGTTAGATCCCACCAGACCTTTGGGGCTTCCATGATCCCCCATCACATGAGGGCCATGAAAGGAGGGAGAGCACCAGACTTTCATCCATGGTAGTCAGTGCTACCAATGTGTTCCTTCACTGCATGAAGTACTGATCCTTCCCTGGTCGTCAAATGCAGCTTCCTGCTGCATAAGCGCTGAGATGCCTTAATGGAGTCATGTCAATTCCATGTGATCGAGGAGAAAACAGGCTTGCCTGGGAAATTGACAAGTCTGGCAACAGGAAGTGGAGACTCAAGGCTCCCATCTCTTGGCATCATGTGGAGGGAGCTGCTTGGACTTGGGAGGCTGTGACCCAGGTGGGCTTCCTCTAGCCCTGCCTTGTTTTCCTTCTTTATGTGGTGAGAGAGGGGTACCTTATCAGGTAGATATTGGCCCTTTGGGTTCAGGAACCAAGCAGACTCAGTGTGGGAGCCCGGGGTTTAGGGGAGCATGGGGAAGGCCCCTGCTCAGCCTCTGGATCCCTGGAGACCGTGAGAAGCTGCACCTCCTGCAGCTGGAGTCTCCTGGTCCCATGAGATGCCCCACTGGGTCAGCCTCTTCCATTAGGATGAGAACAGGTTTGGGTCCCCAGCTGATCTGTTTCCTGGCAACCCAGAAAATCATTTTTGGACAGTCCCATGTGTCTCTCCCCTGACTGGGAAGCTGGCCTATTGGGATCCAAACTTCTTTCTATCTCTTGGCTGGTGTCCCCATGTGCTTTGGGGCATACCTGTTTTTGGACTTGGAGAAAACTGCACAAAGGCAGAAGGCCTGGCTTCTTGAGGAGCCATCAAGGCTTACTCAAGCCTTACTCAAGGCTTACTTCCATGCTGGAAGTAAGTAACATGATCCATAAATTTAGGTGAGTAAATGCCTACAGGAAAGAGACAGGATTGAGCTGGGCAGGCAAAGTTCATCTTCTCCCCTCTCCCCCAGGGTGCAGATCCCTTGCCACCCCTGTAGAGAAGCCCAAAGCCAGGAAAACCAGCTGCTGAGAGTGTGCTGGGCCTCTGGAGGCTCCTTGCAAAGTGATGGCCTGCTTGGTGACACACTGCATCACCTCACATACCATCACCCTTTGCTGCCACCCTGTTTCCTTCACTCTCATTGCTCTGCTCGGGGCTGCATCTCCAAATAAATCGTTAGTACCCCAATCCTTGTGTGGGCTTCTGCTTTCTAGACAGTCTGGGCTAGGACAGTGGGTGTGCTCCATGTCTACCTGGGCCACGGTTTTGATAGCCAAGCAGACACTAAGTCAATTACACCTGTCTCCTTCCCAAACTATTGCAATAACCCACGCCATGTTGGTACTGTTGTCACCCCCATTTTATGATAAGGAAACTGAGGCTCATGGAGGGAAAGCTACGGCAGAGGCTATGCAGCAGCAAAGCTGGGCAAACTCCCAGGATTTGGTGTAATTCTAAGGCCAGTCTGGCCAGCACCACACCCAGAGCCTCCTCCTATATAGACCATGACCTACTTATCCCGGCACCCGAGACAGCGATGGTGTGCTGCATGGCTGGTATCATGGGGGAGCCTGCTGGGCCTACACCGGAGCTGCAGCCTCTGTCCCAGCCAAAGGGCTCCTAAGAGGGGGCCCAGGGAACCTGAGAAGACATGGAGTGAGGCCATCAGGTAAAAAGAAATGCAAAGCCTTACCAGCTCCTTTCTCAGCCACTCCAGGGTCTGTCCAAGACTCGTGGTTGGTGCTTCTGTTTTCATCTCAGTGTCCTTGGAGGAGATGTTGTCACTGACCTGGTGATGGGCCCGAGGGACCTTTGATTGTACAGCCTCCTACCTGCTTCAGGCAGGGAGCAGGGTCTGGCTAAGTCACTGAGGATAGAGTTAATGAGAGCAGGAAGTGGCTTACATTGGGAAAATGTAGGTTTTTCTTTCTTTCTTTTTTTTTTTGAAGGGCTTCACTATTCTGAACAGAATAAGGAGGGAGGGAGGGAAACCACTGGGGTATGGGCACTTCAGGGCCCAGTGGTTCTGGAGTCTAAAGTCTGATGCCAATAGGATCACAGTGACTATAAAGCTTTCAATGATAATAATTATCAATATACTATTAGTATAGTATTAGTTATAAATTAATAATTAGGAGGATAAACATCCCTTTCTGAAGGCTTAGTTTGTTCCAAGGGCTTTACTACATATGACCCCATTTGGGGCACATACTGCATCTGTGTCCTTAATCCCCTTCCTCCTTCCTCACCTCTCTGTAGAATCTAGTTAAAGGGAAATGTTCACCTTCCAGGTCCCTTAGTTTCTGAGTGTCCTCGCGACCCATTTCTAGAAAAGGAGATTAAGGCAAAAATTTGCTGTTAGACTTCTAGGAAAGTCACTTTCCTGATAAAAGGAAAAATGTCAGTGAAGCTCCCCCTAAACTCCAACTTCTCCTTCCTTCAGCCTGGAATATGGACGTGATACCTGGAGCTACAATAATTATCTTGCAACCCAGAGACAAAGGCCAAAAAACTTGCAGAGATGTTAGAGACCACTGTGTCACTGAATCACTGACAGCATCTGCCTGTTATGTGAGACAATAAAACCTCATTTTTAATTGGTCAAACACAGGCCGGCAGACACATCATTTATCCTTCACAACACGCTATGAAGTGGGTATTCTTTAGTTGTCTCTTTCTTTCTTTTTTTTTTTTTTAGTTGTCTCTTTCAACAAACACTTATTGAGTATCTATTATGTGCCAGGTTCTGCTCTAGGCACTGGGGATGTGGCCCCAAATCAGAGAGACATGGGTCCAGCTTTCCTGGAGGACATTGGAGTGGATGGAAACAAACAATAAGTAATTAATCACCATTAATCATTAATAATATTATGACGGAAATAAATAGGATCTATTATCACATAAGATTTAAAATAATTTATTCTGCCCACATGAACTAGGAACCCCAAACTAAGAATTAACATGATGATCCCAGATAAAGAACTGAGGGGACCAGCAAAACCAACTCAACCAGTTTTGGAGGGACTTGCCCTCAACCTAGGCTGCACAAGTTGATCAGAGACAAAGCTCCCTTACAGATGAATTCAGAATTCAGAATTACAAGGAAACTGCCCACCATAAGCGAGAGTCAGCAGACACTATCAACAGCAGGGTTAGGTGCCTCTTTTCCCAACAACTTCAGATGAAGATAACAACAAGGTATTTTTGGAAAGAATTATTCATACAAGAAGGGATAAAAAAAAATAAGAGAAAAAGACAACTTAAAAAGGTGGATTCAAAAAAGAACTAAATAGAATTTATAGAAGTAAAAATGAAATCAAATGTCTCTAAAATACAGAAAAAAAAAGAGTGTACCTTTAGAGTAGTCCCAGACTACTTCTGGTGGTGGGTACAAGAGCTAGGGCGGTAAACTGGTATTCAGTGGGAGGAAAGTGCTGCACAGAATTCTCTCCAGGGGCACGTAATGGAGTGAGGATGTGCAGCCTGAATGATCAGGGAGGGGTAGGGGCTCCCCTGGTTTGGAAGTGGGACCTGGGGCTCCTGGCAAGGCTGTGATGGACCAGGTGGGAAAAGTGGTCCTGCAGGAAGCCAGGACACCTGGGATCCAACTCTGGCTCTACCAAACTTTCTATGTGAACTTGGGCCTCATCCTTTCTGACTTAGGTATAATGAGACTCACAATAGTTGCCAAACTGAGTTGTAAGAAATGACACAGCCAGGGATCCCTGGGTGGCTCAGCGGTTTAGTGCTTGCCTTTGGCCCAGGGCGCAATCCTGGAGTCCAGGATCGAGTCCCACGTCGGGCTCCCAGCATGAAGCCTGCTTCTCCCTCCTCCTGCATCTCTGCCTCTCTCTCTATGTCTATAATAAATAAATAAATAAATAAATAAATAAATAAATAAATAAATAAATATTTTTTAAAAAATGATGCAGCCTGGGATCCCTGGGTGGCGCAGCGGTTTAGCGCCTGCCTTTGGCCCAGGGCACGATCCTGGAGACCCGGGATCGAATCCCACGTCGGGCTCCCGGTGCATGGAGCCTGCTTCTCCCTCTGCCTGTGTCTCTGCCTCTCTCTCTCTCTCTCTGTGTGTGTGACTATCATAAATAAATAAAAATTAAAAAAAAATAAAGCTTTAAAAAAAAATGATGCAGCCTGAGACATACTGCCATATGCAGAGAAGATTTTATGTGCAACTTCTCCTGGTTCTGGGGTCACTCTTTAGAACCAGAGAGGGTCTGAGAACTCTCATCTGCCACATTCACATGCCTTCTAACCACAGGGTCCAGAAATGGATTTCTTCCAGGCAAGTCGACAGATGGTGTGTCACATGACCCTGTAATTACAGGGCAATGGTCTGGGTCAGAGGTGAGTGCCCTGGCCCAAGGAAGCCATCTATGGATGGGACAGGACAGAATGGTTTGTGGGTATGAAAGTGTGTGAAAGGAGCTATGTCCTGGGAGGTGACTAAATGACCTAATCAGATCTCTCAGAGAAGGTGAATTTGCCACAGACGGAGAGGTTGGAATGTCATAGAACACTGTGGAACAAAGCTCTCCCAAACTCCATACCTTCAAACAGTAATCACTTCTTTTTACTCCTGAGTTTGTAGGTTGACTGGGATAGTCTGTAGGTCTGCAAGTCTGAGCCTGCTCCGTGGGCCTCTGGTCCTCCCTGCATCACTGAGCTATGGAAGCTTGTTTTTCTCTTGACAGCAGCAAAGGATAAGAAAGAAAGTGGAACCACACAATGCCCCTTAAGGCCTAGACTCGAGAGTTCCACACTGTTGCTTTGCCATGTACCCCCGGACAAAAGGAATCACATGGCCAAGCCCAGAGTTATGAGGCAGGGAAGCACACTCCACCTACAAAGAGATCCTGTCATTCGTGTGGAGTCAGGGAGGAGTGGAGAAGTGGGAGTGCCAGTTCTAGACCAGAAAGGAAGTTAGTTCTGGAGTGGGGACCTGGGTATGGAGGGGCCCACAGAGAAGGCAGCAGGCAGGGAGGGAATCAGAGGCAGAAAGAATTGCTGTGGCAGTGATATGAGACACAGAAAGAACTAGAAAGATAATGATTTCAGAATGAGAGTGGAAGGATAATTTAGGACCACCAACATTTATTGAGATCTTCTACTCTAGACCAGGCATTGTGCTAAGCCCCTGACATACATAACCCCATTTCATCCTTAAAACCTTATGGTTGCAGTTCCCAAACCAAGTGCCCCGGTCCCCTGAGGGACTGCAGAAAACCCACAGAGACCCTGCAAAATATTTTACAACTTTGAGGGAGCTACGGTGACATCTTCCAGATGCTGGGCAAACTATTATTAAGCTATTTGAACCTAAATGCTTAATAAACAACCCTCTGGTATTTCTTTGAGCCTGGAACATGGAAAAAATTATGGAGATGCTAAGGGTGCTGTGAACTTCTGCCTGTGAGGTAGGTACCATTGTTTTCCATGCTTGATAGTTGGTAACAGATAGAGCCTATTATTAACCACTTTTACAGATGAGGAGACTAAGGCTCAAAGGAGTGTGGATTTTCCTAGGATCCACCCAGCAGGCGAGCAACAAGACTGGAACTAGAACCTGTCCTCCCTGACCTCATGGGATGATCTTGCTTGATGTCTCCCAGTGTGAAGGGTCATGGAAGGGCTCAAGCCAGGCCACGTGCTGTCCTTTTGGGTGGGCCCAGTGGGTTCTCTGCCCAACACAGAAGTGGTGTTGATAGGAGCACTTGGAAATTAGAGGATGATGCACTGTCCTTGGCCTGTAGCACTGATGCCTAATTACCCTGGAAAGCCATTTCTTGTGGTTAACTTGTTTTGATGCACTTTCATTTATTTTTAATCCCACTCTCAAGATTCTGGCTCACAGCACATTTTATTTCACAGGCTCAGCAAGGCTTGGCACACAGGGATAAGGGGTGGTGGAGCAAGGAGCCCTGAAAAGGGAAAAACTTAAACCCTTGAGTGAGGAAAAATATCCTCACCAAATACAAAAGACAGAACAGTCATCCATTCATCATCCACGGGCAGCTGATAATATGGCTTCTGTGTGCCAGACCCTGCACTGGATGTTGCAGATATCTAGTAGTGAGCAAGAAAGATCTCACACCAAACCTCTGGGACCTATGGTCTAGCTAGAGAGAGGATCCATTAGCAATCAAGTGGTTCAAAAATCATTCTTTAGGGATGCCTGGGTGGCTCAGTGGTTGAGCATCTGCCTTTGGCTCAGGGTGTGATCCTGGGATCCTGGGATTGAGTCCCACATCGGGCTCCCTGCATGGAGCCTGCTGCTCCCTCTGCCTGTGTCTCTGCTTCTCTCTCTCTGTGTGTGTGTCCCTCATGAATAAATAAATACAATCTTTAAAAAAATCATTCTTTATACTATAAGCATGGCATATATATGTATATATATCTCACAAATGAATGAATGAATGAGTGAATGAATGAATTTGTAAATTAAAAAAAATTAAAACTATAGGTCCACTGGAGATGTGAATTGCCCACACAAGTTAGCAACTGTGGTAAAAAATGCAGGTTGTCCCTCATGGCAACAGATGGCAAAAGACTACATTCCCAGACTCCCTTGCAGGTAGGTGTGACTGTGTGATCAAACCCTGGCCAAAAGGATATGAACAGAAATGTGTGCAATTTCTGGGTTGTGCCCTTAAAAGGAAGGAGGAGGTTTCCTTCCCCCTCTCTTTGTCCTCCTTCTGCTGATTGGAACATAGACCAAAGGGCTGGAGGTGGAGCAGCATCTTGGACCACGAGGGGGAAGATGGCAGAGCAACAAGATAGAAGGAACCTGGGTCT